TTTTTTTTTGGGGGGGGGGGGGGGGTGGACTCTCCTCCTCCCTTCCTCTCTTGAAGCCCCTCTGGTGATAATTTTCTCCCCAGAGGTTTCAATTCAGAGTGGGTTTTGATGCAACAGATGGCAGCCATATTCAGGAGACACAGCTAGTTGTTTCTCAGTAGATTAGATTGAGAGCAGTTTGGGATGATTAATATCCCAAGGGGTCCTTACATGCAACCAGTATTTCCCTATACAGCAACGTTTCACTGTGTGGAAGAACTTCTCAAGCCGTCACATGTCATGACACAGCAGAACAGAATAAGAGACCAGAATGACAGTGTACCACGTGTTTCCTCAAAAGTAAACTGTATTAAATTACTATTTACTAAATGAATAGAGTTAGGTTCTATAACGTGATGGGGGGGGGGGGTTACTTGCCTAAAATAAAGCTGTTTGATCAAATCGACATTTGCTTTTCTGATTAAAATAAATTAATAATAAAAAATTTAATTCCAGTCAATTCAATCACTAAGTGAGAACCACAATCGTATTTAGGTGTACAAGGCACAGAAATTTCCTCTTGATCGATGAAGAAATGTGTAAATCAGTTTAGATTTAGATCAGTTTCTTTTAAAAATTAAAGCTAAATTAGATTGCAGTCTTTAGCCTGTACTTCGGTCTCCACTGATTCACACAGCCATTTATTTGTTAAGAATCAAAGTAACCAAAATAATGTAAGTGCAGGATGATGTCATTATGCCCCAAACATGTGTGTTGGGGGTTTTGCATCAAAACAATAACAAAAGACGAAGTTTGGAGACGTTATGAAATAACGCAGCATTATGGGAGTTGTTGTTGACCACTGGTCACTGAAGTCAGTCGAATTATACGCAGAGGATCTCCAAAACAAATGAAGCTGCTGAGTAAAACTGGTCAAAACACTGAATAAAGCAGTAAAAAAGTCAGGGGACATGACACTGACAGGCGACTGGTGAAATGCAGTTACATGAATGTTGTTGAAAAACAACTTAAATATATATAACATTTTAGACACTTTAATGTGAAAATATTACATATTATATCTGTGATAAGATTATATTAATACATATCTTATTACATTATATATAATATTATAATATTATATATATATAAATATATATATTATAAAAGAGTTATCAGATGCCAAAACACAGCAAAGCCGTTTGTAAAAGTCGCAGACAGGATTTTTTTACCTCCAAGAGAGCCAGTTATTTTATCTTTCATCACAATGATCACGAGGTAAACCGCAGAAATACTGCGCTCACTTTACAAAGACTTGACCAGTGCAACGCCTTTCAGGATGACGTTGTGTTGCAACAAGTTAAACCAGATTCAATCTTTTTGCCGGATGACCCTGTGTCGTTTGCCCGGGGGCCCCGTGCGTTGGCACCCTGCTACAGCAGCAGACTGGCTGCACTGTTTTCACACAGGGCTCAAGTTGGTCTCAGTAGACCGGGTATTCTCAGAACAACAAACCTTTTATTCAGTTTATATTGTGAAGATAAACTAATATGGGAAGCTAACTCTGACAGTGAATTATTTACCACGGGAAAACAACACAACCAAAGAGTACACTGCAAACAGAGATCCTACCACCAACCTGCAAATCCTGTGTCGGGATTCTTCTTCTTCTTCTTCCTCTCCCATCGCTCTGCATCGTCAGCAGTGATTTCCAGCAGTTTCACTCTGTCATAGTCCTCCCCTTTGTCAGCACATTCCTGAAAGCCAAATATTAGTTTTTAATGAACCTCATTTTCATTTGATAATACATGAGAAAACCGTAACTTGGTTAACTTTGTGGCAATATTTAAACTTTACTGGTGGATGTTTAAGTTCTCCAAGGGCACCCACTGACTCATTCTCTTAGAGGGAGCACCAATATAAAATCTGGGCTCTGAATGTATGTATGTAAATGGGGATAAAGATACCAGAGGGTCACACATCAGGAAATCATGCAGTGTAGCAGTAGTCAAACAAGTATTATCGATATGGAGGTTGACGTGCTGTGCTTTCTACAAAGCTGTTTGGTGATATGTATTAAATTAAAGGCAAAGTGTAAATAGTTTACACACTGATTTATATGCTACCAGAGCATTTTGCCTTAGTCGTATTTAAAACATTTGTATCCCTAAAACACCGTTCCCTTTTAAAAACCAAAGTAGAAATTGTACACGACACGTGTCACATAACACATTATTAGTAGCACACAATGTAAATGGTAAAATAAACTAAGAAAAGACAAAAAAATACTGGCTAAAAATAGCTAAGAGGTCTCTTCATATCATTCTACGGCATTAATAATGTTCAGTCGTTTTTTGGCACTACAGTGATCCACAGTGCTCGTTCTCCAAACACACGTATGTCAATGTGTGGAAAGAATATGATTAGATGACTTCAAGGCTTCAAACTTGCTAGCTGTTGACACTGCAACTCTTTCTGATCTCTGCTTCAAATATCTTCTCATCACACTGAATACGCAGAGCACTACACACTTTATCAACACTAAAACTGAACACCGTAAAACTTCATTTAATAGCGCAGGCTTTAATTCCTTTCGCACAAAACTCTTGCTCAGCAAAGATGGGAAATACTATCAGGTTGCTGTAAAATGAACTTAATGATTGAATGTGGAGAATCTAACTGATGTAATGATGTGTAGCGTCCGTATGAAAAGGCTTTAACATTTTTGTCTTGTGTAGGTGATCTAAGCAGCTTCGCACCGGTCCAAAGACTCTATGAAATGAAATATTAAACGGTTTTAACTTAAATACCTTTTTCTTTAGCTTTTCGGCAAGCTCCCACTCCAGTCTGGCTTTCTTAGCCTCCCAGTTAGAGGGCAGTTTCAGTCTCTTGTCCTCCTCCACAACCTCCTGGTGATTGAGCTTACGTGCTTCATTCTGCAGTGGAAAAGAAAACACTGGAACAATAACTGTACAACTTACACTGACACATTCACAGGCTCCTTGTGTTGAAGGTGTTTCCAATACAGCTGTTCAGCTTGCTACCCCCACACAGCCAACAGCTTAAGGGAAGCAGCAGAATATAAGTGTCTCTCTCTATATCGACATGTGCTTTATTCAGGTAAAGGTCAACAACTCACCCGTTTGAAATGTAACTCTCTGAACTTTCGGAGTCGGTCCTCTCTCTTCTGGGACGGAATGGTTTCGGTTGTTTCCTGCTCGGTGGCTGTGGCAGACCCCTGAAAGTAAGGACAGCATGTTCACGACAGTTCAAACTGTTTAATGTAGTCCACTGAAGACAAGACAGAGGAGAGTATCTAGCAGAAACAAAGAGCGAAAGAAGCGAACAGGTCCACAGTCTGCGACCAGCTAACGTTGGTTAGCACCCGTTAGCTTAGCACAACAACAACGAGCTCGTAAACAACAACCGTGTGACAGAAACACAGCCTCCGCCGGCAACATGGAGCATCACGTCTTCAGGGAAACTATTAACCGGATATCAATCAGCCACGATCTGAAATACACTGGGTAATTTGACATTAAAATGCAGAAACTCACCTCACTACAGGACGCCATTGTTGTGTTCCGCGGAGGAAGAAGACAGGAAGTGTGACGATCATACCGGATGTTACGAAGAAGATAAACGTAAACTTTACATTTTATTATTTAGTCAGAAAATATGATATAAATAAATAAATACATAAATGTAACTTCTGTGGTAGAGCTCCACCTTTTCATTAAGATATGACTGAATAGATTAATTAGAAGCAGGGTTCCGTAAAAAGAACGGAAATTAGACAACAAACCTTTCTACTACCTTTAAAAAAAGAGTTTTTAGAGTTTGTCCTAAATAATTTTGAATTCTTTTTCTTTCTTTTAATTTAAAAAATATAGCGTTAGCGTTAGTAAAACATAATTTCAACATCATTTGAATTATATGAACTATATTCGTTCATATGAAAGCAGTATTTTATTTTTACCTGAAAAAAAAAACCTACGGATTTTTACTATTGTAATATTTGCTGTAGATAGATAGATTTGTATGACTTGCATTGTTCATTGACAGTGCAGGACACAGACAGACGTAACACAACAACATAAAAAGAGGCGTAACAACAAGGAACAAGAACATATGAGGACAGACTACAATTCGAAATATTGCCATCAACATCACATGCACCCTATGGTCCACTTCCCAAGATGTTAGCACTCTTGAGATGTTCTCATGCACACAGCAAAAACAGTCAGAACTTTATCTTCTCTCAAAGAGGTGAAGACTTTTCGTTGTTGAGCAGATGGTATTTTGTAATCCACCACGACTTCTGTATATGTTCTTTATATTTTCTGGAGTTTAGTGTAATCAGAGTCAAGTTATTAAACATATGTCAAACCTGTTATATCACTACAACTCATAATTATTTGTTGTAATGTTGCATCAGCTGTGTGCATGTTAAATCTTTTTATCATGGCACCGTGACAAAAGTAATTGCTAGGCAACTTATATTTTACAGTAATGTCTTTGTGTATAATTTTAAACCGGGCCATCTTGCGTCCTTTTGAAGTTTAACTTCATCGAAAAATACTGCTAGACTAATGGAAACTGGCACGATGCACACAGACAGCAATTATGAATATGACTGGAGGTTATACTGTGAGAGGCATGAAAGGTCAAGCATAAAGTCATCAGTGTGCCACACAGAGAGTCTGTTTAGACTCCACTAAGCTCAACTGTTATGGTCGTGTTTGCTGCAGAGAAATGAAATCTCATATGTATTACCAGTGCATTTTATTTCTACCCACAAAAAACACAAGTATCAATCAGAGCTTTGGAACATAACATAGGACCTCCAAATATGATTCTACAATCTGATCATAAGACGAAAGTAAACACTTTCAAGAGCCATTTGAGCGTGTTTGACTTGCCAAAATGGATGGGCTCCCTGTTTGATTGCATTATACTAATAGAGCTCTTTTGGAGGATGTAATTAAGTGGAGTTTATAGTCTTAGATTAAAGCATCCTCTAGATCACAGGCAATGTTAATGGAGTGATGCATTTTCACTGGAAACCAGATGGGAGAACATCACAACCGAACAAAACATCATTGGCTACAGTAATGGGCAGGGCTCTACTATTGCCATGCAAAAAGAGAAAACATCTTCATCATAAATGACTCTCAAATGAGTAAGAGAGAGAAACCATAAAGTCACTGGAAAAAAGAGAATGAAGCATTTACTCTGTAGTATCAAAACAGCAGGAATAGAGACGTTTAGAGTTTTGTGTACAGCTTTTAAATTTCCAGACATCAATACAAAATGAGTGTGAGAGTGAGAGTGTCCTTTTTTAAAATAGCTGTTAATCCATCGTTAATGCCGTCCACACATCCTTTGCATTTCTCAAGTTCTGTCATAACTAAACTCCCCTCAGGGTGCATTCACTCACTTCCATGGAAGCCATGTTTTGTTTGGACAGAGATGGACATTCAATAATTCAATAATTACTTGTTACAGAGATCATACATTAGTTGACAATCAGTCAAGAGAACAGTTTGTGGTAACGTTATTGTACATTTTCTTGTAACAATACTGTAGGTTTGGTTATGTCAAAAGAAAATGATTTTTTCTGTTAATTCCTGTGCCAGTGTTTGTCATGTTAGTTACAGTAGAGTTACAGTAACAAAAGTTCCAAAATTTGAAATCCACACCGGCTTTGACGGGCAATGTGAGGATCTAAGCAATACTGTCATTGACATTTAAGCGATACTGAACTTTAGTGCAACATGACATGGATCTCACATGTGTTGGGGCCACCCAAAAATGCTGAACAGCCACTCCTCAATATTAACTTTTCCAGTCAGGCAAATCAAGCCTGAAATGGAGTAACATTATATCTGCAAATAAATTGCACTTTAGGGGCACATTTATAAATACAGAGCAGACCTCATGGTGCTTCACAACCGTCTCCCATTAATCAAACCGGACATGATATTAGTTCAGTTTGCTGCATGCTGTGTATGAGATACTATGTTGTTTGTACACACAGACATACATTTAGCTTGAGCTGTTATCTTGCTCTTAATAAGAGTTCCCCTAGATAGCACATGTGGGGCAGGGCCTCTTGCTGCGCAAGCAGCTGCTTCACATCTGGAACTTAATATAAACATCATGGCCAATAAAATCATTCCATTTCCTTAATTACTATTCCTGTCATTTCCGCACTAAATGAAAAGTTATTAATTCAGGGCCAACACAAACATGCGTCTCCAATACGAGGAGCTACTCCTGAAGCGTCGCCACCCTGACTACATGCCGCTGTCACTGGACTGGAACCACAAGCTCCTGCCTCGCTCTGCCAGTGTGCGTTTGTGTGAATGTGTACACGTGAGTGTGTGTATGTATAGGGAACACTGGCCAAGGCGCTTGCAGACATGAACGGAACACAAGATGGCGTCTTGTTTTCCATCTCATCCAAATGTTCCCACTGGTGCCAGTATAATCATGACAGGCACAACCCGTCCTGTTTCATCTCTCTGCTTCCTCCTCCCCTCCACACTCCTGCTCTTGTTCTTTTGCTGCTTCTCTTCTCATGCCATTTACACTACTCTTCCCCTACATCCATTCTTTCTTCTTTTTTTTTCTCTCTGACATGCCTCCCAATGCCATAGCACGCTTGTTAACATAACATATAGCGTGATGATAAGACTTTGGAGTATTCAAAGAGCATCTGTCTGTACTGTTGCCAAAATAACTACGTATACTTACTGCAGCTATACATGTTCTGAGGGAGAAATTGCAATCTCTCACAGGGTCATATGTCATCAAGCAAATCTTTAGCTGAAACATTCCTCACAGCGCTGCATTATAAGCCATCTCTAGTAGTTAAAATGCTTCCCATTGATTTCTGGTGTTAGACGTATCCAAAGGGCATGGATGAATAGAGTGAATATAGAGCTATTTGGATGGAGTCCTTGTAAAATGCCTCACACCAAAAGCATCATTGTGTCAGCACAAATGCCAGTGTATGTGTGTCCTTATTGAGCTTGACTGACTGAATTACCATCTTCCCCGGTAGCAAACTATTGCTAATATCTTGTAGATCATGACGTATATGATTTGACACAGGGCTAGCTGCTCTGATTCCAACTGAAACCATTCACAGGCCAAGAGAGGAAGAGGATTTGGTGAGCGACACATATACTTACACAAAAGACGCATGCATGCACTCAAATACCACCAGTTTTGTAGTCAATGCTTTTGCTCCACCACACACAATTAAAGTCCCAATTAAAGGCCATTATGGGTTTTCCACTAGCAGCAACCACAGGGAGAGCAGCTCCACGGTCCGTACATTGCGGGCACACAGATGTCTCCTGTGTTGTCATCCAAAGGAACTCAGACTGATCCACAAACTTTATGATCATAATTACTGATCAAAATTAAAGTGCAACAACAATACAAACTCAGAGGATGCAATAAAAAAAAAAGTTTGAGCGATTCCGGTAAAAGGGGCCAAGTGGGACAATCAGAGGTAAGTGTTTGTGAGATGTTCATCCTGAGGAGGACAGTATATTGAAGTAATGACAGGCAGCCCATTAAACTCTTGTTTACCACAAGAGGGAGGCATTTCCCTGATATCTTACCAGAAATTGACAGTCCTATTAAATCTAAGTGGGAATATTAAATAAAAAGGCCACACTTTCATGTTTATTCCTCCTTATGCAATTGTGTTTCTGTTTCCCACAGCCACAATCACCAATAGATCTGAGTTCTCACCACAGATGAAAGCGCTGGGCTCCATATCTGCTGTGAAGCATCCATTCACCACCATACCCACACACAAGTTCAACACGAGTGTCTTCCCTTGAGCGGGGCCCAAAAGTGTCATGCGTTTTCCGCTTCTGAGTTCCCATCCTCTTACCCAGTGACCTTAATGAGAGACTAAAGTTCTCACTTGGCCAAACAATACGCTGTTGTAGAGGGCTGTGATAAGAGGTGGCCAGTCAACAGCCTCTGGACATGCAGCTGTGTAGGCGAACAGTCTTCCCAATCTGTCCCTGGCCTGACACGCAAAATCAGTTGCCAGTTCAAGCAACCTCACACGGACACACACACGTGTCAAAATGCATGTGGGTGCACACAATCACACATACACAAGCACAAAAAGTGAATCCCATTCCCACCCAATTTTGTGCTCTGAGAACTAACAATCTGTTTAGTGCAAAAACTGTAGTGGCTCCTTTCATCTCCAGTTCAAGGCGCCAATGATCTAATTTCAAATCTGATGATGAACAACCCAGTGCCAAATATCTAAAACAAGTGTCAAAAACAACACCACCACTGTCGACTGATAAGTGATAAATTAGCTCTTTCTTCGTGGTCAGTATGGGTTATTCTTTGAACTATTTAGGGCTTAAAGAGATCTTTTATATTAATGAACAAACTTATTTTGTGAGGCAGAAAATTTTAATTTAGTCATTTTCAAGGTGGAGAGTATTTTCCCCTGGGAATGATGTCAAAGTAGAATTCCGTTTACATACACAGAGCAATGTAAGAAAATTAAACTTTTTTTTAACACATACATTCTAGAATTTATGAGAAAAAAAGAATATATCCAAACAAGACATGCATTGGCAGACATCACTGTTG